GAACCAGAGACCAAAGTCCTCAGCAAGTTTGCCCTCAGGCTGAGCCTTGACTCAGGTGGTCCCGCCTGACCAGGCAGCAAGTGCCCTAGAAGGCCTGAGCCCTCCCTGTCTTCCCCTCAGGCTCCTCAGGGACTCCAGGCTCCTGACCTAGGGACTGGGGAGAGCCCCAGGCAAGCTCCTGTGTCCAGCTCCCCACTTCAGCCCCCCCCCCAGACCCAAAGGCAGTGTGTGATGGCCTTTTTTGTTCCTTTTTAAAAGCTACATCTCCTTTTTTTTTTTTTTTCCTGATAAGAGCAGCTCGTGCCACTGCAAATACATTGGAAAATTTCAAAAAGGATTCAGAAAGCAAAATTGCCTGGAACCCCAAGGCCCAGAGATAACTGCATTTTAAATTAGAATTGAATGGCTTTTCTTTCCCTTTGCATCCCAGCAAGCTCCACGTCACCAAGCAGTCTGGAGAAAGTGAGTATTCAAGCTTCCTATTCTTCGCTCTTTTTGAGCATGTGTGGCTATTTTAAACCTGAGAAGAATCCTGGAGTAGTGAATTTTTAATCATTTCTAATTTTTTCTGGAGATTGAATTCCTGGATGGGGGATTCCCAGCCAAGCAGCCGTGCCTTGGCTGGGAATCTGTGAGGGCATCACCTGGCCAGGCTCTTGGGGCTTCTGAGTTTGTCCTTCTTGGCACTCACTCTTGTCCTTTACCATCCTTACATGTGAATAACAGGTCTTCTATTTGTCTCTTTGCTTAGCCTGGAGGTCATTTCTGAGCCTTTGAACCCATAGGAGTCATTGTCATCTACCTGAGCTGCAAGTCAGGAAGGCAGCTGCCTTCACACATAGGCCGGCTGGGCCCATCCCGCAGCACAGTCAGCAGCTGCCCAGGGACAGGGTAAAAAGGAGCAGGGCAGGGCCAAGGGCTGGGAGGCTAACAGGGAGGGAGGGACGGAGGATTGTGCAGGGCAGTGGGAAGGATGGGCCCATGCCCTTCTCCCCAGACCTGAAGAGGAGGCTTGTGGTTCCCCGGGGGAGGAGGGGCTATGGCTGGCTGCAGGGCTATAGCGGGGTGGCAGGGGGGGAGCTGGCAAGATAGGCTTTGGGGCTGGGGTAGCCTTTCTGTAACAGAGCAGTAGGGAGTCAGAAGGGCCTAAGAGGCCCAGTCTCTGGGTCTCTCTAGGCAGCTGTGGCCAGGCAGGGCCTGGTTGGCCCATGACAGAGAGGAAGGACATTCTAGATGGGAGGGCTTGGAGCAGGTGGGGTACACAAGGACAGGAGGCCTGTGCCAGGCAATGAGTGACCTGGGGCAGGAGCATGGGTCAGGGCAGGTGGTTGCTAGGATCTGGAGGTTCCTGATCTCCCTGCCCAGAAGCTTTCCAGCCCACATCTGCCTTCTCTGGCCAAATTATTCTTTGGACTTGGTTGCCCCAGGCAACCCCAGCCCCCACTTCCTTGGCTTGCTGTCTGACCCTGACATGGCATTCCCTGAGTCTCAGCTCCCTTCCTCCAGGAAGCCTGCCAGAAACACTCCCATTGGCACTTCTACCTCAGGCTTGGCATGCAGTGAACTGAGAGGGGCTTTTGCCACCGCCATAAAGAGTTCTAGGGACCAATTTATGAAAGGGTTTTGTCCTCCTGAGAAAACTGTCTCCTTCAAGTGCAGAGGCCTGGTTCTGCAGCTGTGATGAGCAGGGCCTTGGCTTGGGTGCACGTCAGGGGAGGGGCGTTCAGCAAAAGCCAGGACTGAGTGTGAAAATGCACACATGTCCCAGGGCTCAGGCCCAGGCAGGGGGATGGCATCCTCTAGTGTTGTGAGGAAGGCAGGCTCCCTCCAGCCCTCCCCATTCCTACCCAGTGGGCAACACCTATGTCTGAGTGTGGGTGGGGTAGACAGCCAGGGGTTCAGAGTCAATGGGGAGAGGGTGCTGGGCTGAGTCGCATTGGATGCCAAAGGGGACAGGCAGACAGGGCAAGGGCAGCGGAGACCCTCAGAACCAGCACAGCCCTGGGAGTTTGCCCAGGTTACTGAGCAGGGACTTGGCCATCCACTGGGTCCAGGGGCTTCTGGCCATCAGTGATGCCCACAGGCTGCGGCCCAGAGATGGCTGGGTGCTGTGTGCCTCTGAGAGTGGCAGGGCCTGGGCTTGAAGGCTGGCAGACAGCAGCCCCTTCTCCCTTCACCCAGGTCCCACAGGTACCTCCCAGCCCTGCCCTGCCACCTCCACTGTGGGGTTAGGGCTGGTGAGGCTTGGGGTGACTGGATTATGAGCAGGTCAGGCTTGTAGTGATCAGTTTTGGGGTGATCATGGGCATCCCTGCATAGCCTCACTCTGGTTCTGGCCAGGGTCTGTCCCTGCCAGGTGCTGTCACCCTGAGACGCTAGGTCCCACGCTGACCCCCTGTGGTGGTTGTTTCCATAGACCCCTCACAATGTTCAGCCACTTGTCACCTCGGGAGGAGCAGGAGCTGGAACTTGGTGAGCAAACACTTGGGGCAGCCCATGTGCTGCTGGGTGTGGGGTAGGGGGTGCTCACATTCCCACTGCAGAGGAGCATGAGGTCTATTCTTTCCCTGGCTGTCTGATGTAGGGACTGGGATGACACACCCTCAGAAGGCTTGTTACCCTGTGGGAGGGCAGGGGCAGGGTTTGGTGCTAGGCCCTCTGTTCCTATTGTCTCCTTTCCCTTCAGGGCCATGGTCCAGGGGCAAGATGGCCACAGCCAGGGCTGTACCCCAGGAACCCTAGGAACGGTCAGACAGGTTGGGCACCTCCTGCCACCCAGCTGAGCAGGGACTTCATAACCACCCCTCTGCTGCCCCTCCTTGTCCTCAGGGCTTTGGGGACGCAGGGAAGGCAGCTGTTGCAAATACAACACCTGAGCTGAAGAGTGGTCCCAGTGCCTGACTGGTAGATAATGGGTGGGTTGTTATTGGGTAATTGAGTCATGCAAGAGTGAAAGAGTAGCTCCCCGAATACTCAGGAACTGTTTCCACTCTGTCCCCTCAGCTCTGTGCATCCAGGCCAGCTCTCTAAGGCACTGGACCAACTGCCGCCCACAGTGCTAGGCCTGCACACACCCAGCCTGCAAAGCCTCTTTAACCCCACAGGCGCTCAGGCCTGCTGGTCAGGCTTACTCCTGAGCCTGCTGGTCAGTGGCCTACAGCCTTTGGTGCTGAAGGAGGCCAGACAAGCATGCACCATGGGGAGCCCCCCTGCTGCCCATCCATAAACGAGAGAGAGGTGTCACATGGGTGCATTGAGGTTGGATGTGGTATGCATGCTTTGTAATGCTGATTGCCTGATGGTTCAAGTAAAAAAAAATCCATAATCATGTCCAAAGGTAAAAACCACTAAGGCCACAGCACAGGGACTGAAGTACTTGTCCTGTGACCCTGAAACACCGTCCAGGTCCTGGCCACAGCATTCGGTCAGGGCAAGGACACTCTGAAGCTCACAGCCAGGCCCTCCCTAGGAAAGGGAGGCCAAGCCATAGGTTGGACAGTGTAGGGGCCTTCGAGGTGACACCAGAGCTCTGGCCTAAGGACATGAGTCATGGGGGCTGAGTTTGCTAATGAGTAATGACAAACCAGTGACACAGCTGTACCTGACCCAGAGACTGACTTTACTTCCATCCCAAGATGATGCTGGCTTTGCAGTCATTTTCTTCACGTATCAAAGTACTGATGATCACTGTAAAAGCACTGGACTATGCAGAAATTCCTATGTACCATCATCATAGAGCTTCCAGAGCTCATCCTATTTATGAGAAAGGAACTTATCATATGTGTGGTTCTGCTCTTGATTTTTTTATTTCTAATTTGATACCAGCTTCTAAGTGATTTTTCAGAAGAAGAATCCCCTCCCCACATACAAACCAAGGTGTGAGAATGTATTTGTTCACATTCTTTCATCTTTATCCCACTGACAGTTAAAAAAGCACATCTCATTTTTCATGCTCATTTCTTTCATTATCAGCAATGCGGGCCATCTTTCCACTTAATTACTGGCTCACAGGTTCCTTTCCTTGTGTTTAAGGCTGTGGAGGGAATCCTTTGCTGAATGACTGGAAGAAGCCTTTCTTTCCTTTGCAATAATGGGGATTTAACCCAGGGCCTTTGCACTGAGCTGCTACAACCCCAGGCCTTTTTATTTTATTTTTTATTTTTGAGACAGACGGCGTCTTCTAAAGTCTCTAAGTTGTACGGGTTGGGCTGGAACTTGCGATCCTCCTCCCTCAGGCTCTCAGTGCTGGGCTTGTTGTCACAGGTGAAGCAAATAATTTTGAGTTTTTACTTGCAGTGGTCAATGGGTGGTTCGGGCCCAAGAAACTATGTTGCTGTCTGTAAGAGTTGTTTTCCTTAGGTTTCTGTCTTGGTTTCATATTTACAACGCCCTCCCCCAACTCTGGATTAGAGATGATAAAATTCATAATCTTCTCTGTACGCTTATGGTTTTAGCTCTACAATATAAACATGTCAACTGTTTGCTCTCTATTTTGGTGTAGGAGTAGGTTGGGGTACAGGTAACTTGCTGTTCCACACCACTGGCCATTGCTGTGGTACCACTGGTCCATCCACATTTTCCTAGTGGGTCTGAAGTTTTGAGTTGTGGTATGGATGGCCTGGGTCCCAGCTCTGTCCCCAGGCTGTTCAGCTGCACACAGGCCCTGCCGCCTGGGTTGGTTGACAGGGCTCTGCAACATGTCTCCCCCTATGTGCTATGCTTTCCATTTCCTCCAAATGCATTTTAAAGAAAGCAGTTTCTGCAGATCCAATAGGGATCCTGCATACACAGGTGCTGGAGGAGGAGGGGCTGAAGTCTCCCAGGCAACCTGTGAGGATTATGGGGCCTGAGATCACATGGACTGACAGGCGGCTCTCATGCTACTTTTGTGCTCTGGGCCTTCTGCAGACTGTTCAGACTCAGGGCTCCTGGGAGGTGTGAGAGAGTGCTGCAGTGACTCCTCACCCTTGGAGAGACAGTTAATCAGGAGGATCAGGGCCATGTCAGCCACAGAGCAGGACCGGGCATTGGACATCCTTTGTTACTACCTGGGAGGGCACAGCCAGGTAAGTCCCGAGGGTGTCTCCTTGCTGGGCAAGAGCCCTCTGTGGCCCTGACCCCTGCAGGGTCTTGGGGGACTCGGGGGGAGCCTGAGTCCCCTCTAGGGCTCACTGCATGGCTGGCACCACCATCAACCACCATTGGGCTCCCAAGGCCTTCATACTATTGGAATTCCTGACCTTCTACCAGGAAGTGCCAGAAGGTGGGAGGGAGTCAGGGCACAGGTGGCTACTCCACATCAGCAGGTGATGGGGCAGACACCCAAGAGCGGGGATCCTGTCCCCTCCACCCCATGCCCACCTAGAGCCTCCTACTGATCTGCATTCCCAAAACCCCCACCCCTCAGGCCTGCTGTGATCTCAGACTGGCTTTGGGCATAGAGTGGTAGTGGTAGGACCCCAGCACACTATGAACGTTAGGGAACCTTTTAGACCAGCTTGAAGGCCTGAATGGCACCAGAAGTCATGTAGATCCTGGGGTGGGCAGGGCTGTCTGGGCCCCTCTCCTCAGCGTCTGCTCCAATCTTTATCTCTAGCCTCTGGAGCCTGCAACCACTTCTTAGGGCCACTGTGAGTGACAGATTCTTTGAGCTCTAAGGGCTGAGAGAGGAAATACAGCAGGGCCTGTGTGCTCACAGAGGCCCTGTTACAAGAATACACAGATGGGCTCAGATTGGGGGGTGGGGGTAGGGAAAAGTGTCCAGTCTGAGGGAACTAGCTATGCAAAGGCCCAGGGGCCAGCATGGCAGCAGCATAAAGGGCAGGAGCACTCCCAGTGTCAACTTGCTGGCCACATTAAGCTATGCAGCCTCTGTGCAAAAGGTAGGAATCTGCTGGGGTCTGTAGCAGAAATCAGTGTGGCCAGAATCACTCAGGTTTGAGTCCCTAGCTGCTGTATGGCTTTGTCCTTCACCCCTTCCCCACCCAGCAGGCTCTCACTTCTGTCCACACTGGGCTATGTCCCTTACTGGTGGGGCAGGAGGTGAGGGTCTGAGCACTGAGCACTGAGCTCTGCCACAGCGCCTGGGGCAGCAGAATGCTATGGACACAAACATCAGCATGCAGAAGCTTCTGGAGTCCCTGTGCCTGGCACTGGAGCAGGCCAGGAAGAAGGTTAGTGCCAGGCCAGGGCCACTTGGAGCCCCTCAAGAGGGCTGGAGGTGACAGAACCCAGCCCAAATCCATAGGAAGTGCTGAGAGGCTCAGGGGCTTCATGAGCAGTCTCCTCACCCAGGGCAGAGCAGGTTGTCCCCACCACTCTTGACCACAGCCCAGCCTAGGAGCGAGCAGGGAGCACAGTGACACTCAGGGTGTGCCTTAAGGGGCCCAGAACTGGAGGGTGGTACAGTAGTCAGCACTGGGTTTGGGCATCACCTGCAACAGTCAGTACACACAGAGCAATCCTCGGGGTGCTCAGACCCTCCCCTCAGAGCACTGCACATGGATACCAGTGTGACCCACCCTTGGGCCACCAGGCCCTCCCCACAGGGCCCTGCACACAGACAAGCCCCAGGCCAGGGGTGGGCACAGCCCCAGCTGGCCACTGGCTCAGTGCTTAATCCTCGCCTTCTGCTGCCCAGACCCTCCTCTTCCACCTCTTTGGGCTGATCCTTTGTGAGTGCACAAGTGTGGCAGTGGTGAAGAGCCACCTCTCCTGCCTTCTGGAGCTGTCCCACCAGGACGCCAGCCAGCGGGAGGTGCGTTAGGCCCTTGAGGTCCCTGGCTCTCTTAATCCTGCCAGCCTTGTCCCTTGACCCTTACTCCAGTATCCACTGCTCAAAGCAAGGAGCAATGTCGGGGCGCTGATGGGCTCCACCCAGCAGACGGTGTTCTCACGGCAAGGAGCGGGTCCTCGGGAGACCAGAAACGTCCAACACTGTCCCCTGGGGGCTGATCCCTGGTATCCCACCCCCCACAGGACATCGCACTGGCTGTGGGCTTGGCATCCACTACGCACCTGGAGGAGGTGTGGTCCCTGCTGGAACACCTGGGCAGCACCTGGTTCTTGAGGTGGAGGAACCTGTCCTCTGAAGGACAGGTAGAGAGGCCCCTGGTGGCCATTCTGCAGAGGGAAGTGCAGAGCGGGGAGGGCCTCGGCCTTGGCGCCTGATGGTAACATGGGATCCCGGCGGGCTGGTATGTGGGACAAGGCTGGATGAAGACGTTCTCTGTACTTCTCTGTTCCTGGAACCCCATGAGCAGAATTCGGAGCTGCCATTGGGTGCAGGATCTGAGGCCATGGGGCCTGCAGGTGCTGTGTGTAACCCAGGCCTCAGTTTCTTCTCGGTGCACCTGACCCAGGAGGGTATGCTGAGCAGCTTCATTTTCTTAGCCACTCCCTGCCCCGGTTGCCTTGCTGGAAGGGGTAGGCAACGGAAGACCTGCCTGTGTGAGGGTGCTGGCTGGAGGGTCTTTCTGGAAGAGAGGGCTGGCCCCAGGCCTGGGACCTGGTTCCTGTGGGCTATGGACACAGCTGGCCACCACCTGGACCTGTGCCAAGGGCTCAGCTTCCCTGGGCTGGAGGCTGGTGTGAGCTGGGAGGGCCTGGGGTGGGTTGGGGCTCATAGCCCCTGCCACTCGCTCACTTGCAGCACCCAGACACAGACATGCACAGGAAATGGGTCAGCAGCACTGCCTTGTTGTGCTATGGACAGATGGCCACACATGCCAAGGAGCAGATCCTGCCCTGCGTAGACAGCATCACCTCGAGGATGGTGCACTACTTCTCCTGCAGCCACTGCATGAGCCCCGGTCTCTTCAGGGGCGGGTGAGAGGGCAGGGTGCCTCAGGTCCCCTCACTTGTCCCTGTGCCGACCTCTGAGCCAGTGGGGCCTGACCCAGGGGTGTAGCCAGGCAAAGCCCATGGGTCCTGCTCCCTGAATGCAGGGTCCTAGGCCCCAGCTGCAGGGTTAGGCCCTAGGACAGGGCCTAACTGGATTGGGCAATGAGGCAGGCAAAGAAGGCTGTGTGCCTTTCACATCTCTGAAGGATCCACCCTGGGACTCCAGCAACCCAGGAAACACAGCCAAGGGGCTGGGTCTCATCACCTGGACGGCCAGAGCTGCCTGAGTTTCCGGGGCGAGGGGTGCATATGTTATGATGTTGCATGTGCGGGGTACATACGCTGTGGTATGTAGATGTGCAGTGTCTAAGTCATGTTCTGTGGGTGCTCTGTGGATGTGTGTGAAGATGTGCTGTGAGGGTGTGTGTGTGTGTGTGGATTGTGTGCGGGGTGGATATGAGTGTGAGAGTGATGTGCAGATGTATGTGTGGGGGTGTGCTGCGTGTGCGTGTGCACTGCGTGGACCTGTGTGTGCACCTGCACTCTCTGGTACCCTGGTCAAGATTGGCAGTGTGGCAGATTTCTGTCACCTGTCCTCTGACCTGGGCACTTGTTACTGTAGGACAATGTCCTTAAAGCCAGCTTCCTTTCAGCTGCTGTCCTGCTGACCAGCGTTCTCAGGTGCGACTATGGTGTCCAGAGGTACAAGTTCACCCGGATACCAGAGTTCATCCAGTGCCTCCTGGTGAGTGACACGCCAGGTGTCCTGCCCTGTGGGGACTCAAGGATCACCCAGAGGGCAAGGAAACTCAGTGGCTGGGCCAGATGCTACTGCCACCTGGGCTCTTCTTCTGCCCTCCCAGTGCATCCTCCAGGAGGAGCCCAACTTCCTAGCCACCCTTTTCTGGCAGAAGATCATCTTGGTCATTATGGGGCTCAGGTAACCTCCCTGGGGTCCAGGACAAAGACAGGTCAGGCCCTCTGAGGATAAAGGAGGCTCAGCATGCCAAGGATGAGGGACAGGGACAGCCCTGCTAAAACAGTGCTGGGTGGGTTGAGGCTGGGACAAATCATGCATGGGAGATTAGGTTTGCTTTGTTTCATGACTAAGGTATGTTTATAATGCTGACACACACCAAGCCCTGACCTAAGTTGCATCTGAGACTACTCCTGTCCCTCGCTGAGCCCTAACTCTGGTCAGACAAAAAGCCCTGACCTTGTTGCCCTTTAATCCTTGACCTTGGCCACAGATTAAGTACTGACCTTTGTCACCAGGTGACCCCTGGTTGCATTCAGCCTTGTCTTGACCAAAGAATAATTCTTAATTTTCTCGCAAGAGCCAAAGAACCCAATGGAATGAAGCCAAGGAGTTGGGTTGGCTGCAGACCCTGTTGTCACAGGTTCTTTCCAGTCCAAATATGCCCCCCTTTCCCCAGGCCCAGCCTACCTGGAGTCTGAGGCAGGCTTGCATGCGGATCACATCCTCACTAAGTTGTGCCTACCAGATTTGTAGGGAGCCCCAGTCAGACCTCTACCTGAGCCCTGACTGCAAAGGAGTCTTCCTGGGTTTCTTGCAGCAATCTGCAGCCCAGCCTCCAGCCCTGGGTCAAGTCCAGGGTCCTAGAAGCCTGCCTACAGAGTGTGTATGTGCTGCCGCCTACAGAGGAGCTGCCCAGCAGCCTGCCTTCACTGGACCCATCCCCTGACATCGATGTCATGGTGACTGCCTGCTCTAACCATCCTCTCTCTGTCTGGGCTAGGGGCAGGGGGCTGGGAGCTGTCAATCCCTGCTTGGGGAAGCGGCCGAGGAAGGAGTTGGGGGTCCAGGCTTGGTTCCACCCTGGCTGCAACACAGACTTGCTATGACCTTGGGAAAACCCCAGCCCCGGGTGTCTTGCAATTCTGTGAGCTGTGTCCAGCTTTCACAAATCAGCTTCATTGAGCCCACAAACTCCCCACAGCCTCAGGTGCTCCTGGTCCTTTGTCCTCAGCTAGGCGGGCAGGGGACTTGCGGGCAGGGGACTTGCAGGCAGTCACACACATGTCTCCCACTGCTTCTGCCCACAGTCAGCATACAGCAAGGGCTTAGCAAATCCCAGGAACAAAAAGAGTGTCCCCTCCACCACAACTACACCCCAGACTGGGACAGCTCTGTCCTTGGATGGGGCACAGCTACCTCGATGGTTAGGTGCTGCCCCCCCCACCCTTGTATGGGGCCTATAGCGACAGTGGAAAATGCATGTCCCCACAGCCACACGCAGGTTAGCAGGTACAGCAAGATCCATGGAACAGGCCAGGTGGGAGCTGAGCTATGTGCCTGGGCTGGCCTCCTGGGGAAGTCTGCTAGACAGAGGCCAGCATAGCTGTTCACTGGGCATTCTCTCCTGCAGAAAGGGAGGGTGCTGCAGGAATCTGAGGAGGTGGCGGGATCTTGAGGAAGCCCATCTCCCGGGAATCACCAGGGCTTGGCAGCCGTCTTGTGGGAGACCTGGCTCTCTGCTGCTCATCGGGGCCTGGCCAGTCCCTGAGCTGTGCTCCAACAACAGAGAGACTGTATCAGGCAATTCTTGGAGCTCTCTGCAGCTGGGGAATGGGTTCCAGAGCCTTCAGAAGGGCCAATAGTAGGCCTGCCTTCTACCACAAATGTCTACTTTGGCCCAGGTGAGTCCTAGCACCCAGGTCTACACTGGGTGTCAGACACCCAGCCACAGGAAGTGATTCACGAAGAGCTGTGTTTTAACAGGTTGATTAAAGTAAAACTGAGACACAGAACACCACACACATTCAGAGTGTGTACTTGCGCATGTTTTGACAGATATATATGTGAAACCATCATCAAAATCAAGACTGTCAGTTTCCAAAGCTTCCTGTGCCCCTCAGGATCCTCCCTCTGGGTCCTCTGTGGGTGCTTCTTATCTCTCTACACTGACACACTAGCCCACTCCATCACTGAGCATACATTTGCACTTTTTTGTTTTGTTTTTGTTTTTGGTACCAGGGATCAAACTTGGCTCCTTGCACCTGTGCAGCAGGCGGCGAAACTACTGAGCTAAATCCCTGGCCCTACATTTGCACTTTTAAGAATTTAATGTGAACAGAATCACACAGTACTCATTTACTTTGTCTGGGTTTTTTCATGAGTGATGTTGAGATCATCCGCGCTGTGGCTTGCATGGTAGACCATTCTCCCCTGTTGAGGGCCATTTCATTTCCTGGATATGCTCCTGCTCTCTGGATGAGGGGCATGGGTTCATTTCCAGGTGTGGCTGTTACAGGCGAGGCTGCTGTGAACTTTCGTGTTCAGTTCTCCATACCGACATATGCTTCAGTGTTCGCTGGGTCAATACCTAAGTGTGGTCAGTAGGTCATATGACAGGTGAATGTTTAACTTTTTAGCAAATTTTGCCCAACTGTTTTCCAAAGAAGCTGCACTACTTCACATCCAACAGCAGTGTCCTAGATGCTGGTGGTTCCACATCCTTGACAGCACTGGGCACCGTGAATCTTTGGCACATGAACCATTGTGATGTGTGTAGCTTACTGTGGTTTTAAGTCTCATTTTCTTACTAATGATGTTGGGCATCTTTTCATGTGCTCATTTGGCATCTCTATATCTTTGGTGAAGTGTCTGAATGTCACAGCTGCTTTTAAAATTAGGTGAACTCTTCAGATATATAATTTTTAGATTTCCTCTTATACTCTAGTTGTGAGTCTTTTATCTGATATGTGATTTGAATATATTTTCTCCCAATTTGTGGTTTCTTATCCTCTTAATAGTGTCTTCTGAAGAGCAGAAGTTGTTAATGCTGAGGAAATCTAATTCGAAGTAGTTTTTTCCTTCATGGACTATGCTTTGGGCATTGTACCTAGAAAATGTTTTCTTAGCCAAAGGTCACAAGATTTTATCTTGTATTTTTTTGCTTGAAGTTTTATGCCCAGGATTTATATGTAGGTCCATATCTTAGCCCACTTGGGTAGCTGTAACAAAATATCATAGCTCAGGTGGCTTCTAAACAGACATGTGCTCCTCACAGTTCTGCAGGACAAAAGTTTGAAATCAGGGTGCCAGGTGACTGGTTTCAGTGAGGGCTGCTTCCAGGATGCAGATGTTGACTTCTCCATTTCCTCATCTGACAGGAAGAAGGCTAGAGAACTCTCTGGGATCCCTTTCATATGGGCATTTATCCCATCACCAGGGCTTCACCTCATGACTAATTCGCCTCCCAGAGCCCTCACCTGGTGTTAGGATTTCAGCATATATATTTGAAAGGACACAAATAGTCCACAACTATCCATAATCTATTTTGAATTAATTCCTGTAAGATACATTGTACAGATTGAAGTTTAATTCTTTGCATATGAATATCTTCCTGTTCCAGAATCACTTGTTAAAAAGACCATAATTTCTCTATTCAATTATCTTCACACTTTTGTGAAAAATTAATGGGTTTATATCCCATATATCCATAAGATAATTCACAGGATTTTGTACTTGGCTTTTCTTTTCTCCCTGAGGTAACTAGGGATTGAATCCAGGGGGAAATGAGCTACATCTCTAGCCTTTTTATTTTTTTATTTTGTGACACGGTCTTGCTAAGTTGCCAAGATGGCATTGAAGTCTTGATCTTCCTGTCTCAGCATCCCCAGTAGCTGGGATTACAGGCATGGTCCACTGTACCTGGCTTTATACTTGCCTTATTTGAATAAGGGCAGTTTACGTCTTCCTTTCAAATCTGGCTGCTTTTTCTCTCTCACTCTTAATTTATTGCACTCACTAGAACTTCTGGTACAGCTTTGAATACTGGTGGTGAGAGTGGGTATTCTCAGCTTGCTCCCAGCCTGAGCGGGGGAGCATCCAGTCTCACCATTCACCCTGATGTCATTAGGAAGTGACATCTCTATTGTGGGTACACTTCTTTGTTCTGAAACTGATTCCATCTGTAATGCGGTAGCCCTTCCTCCGTGCTTTCCCTTTTAACCTGTTTGTGTCATTATATCTAAAGTTTGTTTTTTGAAGGAGACCTGATTAGATTAGGTCTTGCTTTTCATACAGTGTGCTAGTTTCTGCCTTCTCCTGGAGGTGGGGCTCTAGCCCATTCATATATAGGGAAGTTGGGGTTGTGCTACTGTCTTGCCATTTAGTTTCCATTTGTCTATATAGTCTTCACTCCTCTCTTCATCTCTTTCTGCCTTCTTTCAAGTGATTTAACACTTTTATGGAGACTTTTTTCTTCTTAGTGATAGCCATTGAGGGTTGGTTTTTTTTTTCTGGTGAATGTGTTAGGATTTATAGTATACATCTTTAATCCCCCTCTCTCTTGGTCCTGTACATTCATATCTATACTTATACCTATGTCTATATTTATATCTATGGGTCCTAAATACACACCTAGATATATTTTTCTATCCATAGATCATATACCATTACTTATAATTTTATCTATCACTA